GACACAAAAATGTTTGCAGCCTCCCTTAAAAAGTTATCAGCAGCCTTCATCTTTTCAATTATTCCGAGATCCTTTTTCGCATGCCCTTTTATCACTGATAGATCCAGTTCTAGGAGAAACTTCCAAACTTTTTTAAAATTTTTCTGGTATTTTTTTGCTTTGTATCTCAACAGTCGCCAGCTGCATCGATGGCTCTATACAAATGTCGATAACAAACAATTGCTCAAGTATTCAAGTAAGTAGTATGTCTCAGTAGAAATCCAACCTGCTCCAATTTCAGCTAAAAGCGCTTTCATATCCTCTTTAGTCGGTGAGGTCGTCATCTGAAACTTGTACATTATTTATTTTTGATAAAAATGAAGAAAAAGGCATGAGTTTATTCGAAATCTGTGTCGATAAGTATGAGGGGGAAATCTGAGGGCATCCTTACATTACTCTTCATACAAATAAATATGAACAGGCTGAGGCCACCTTTAAATTACTCCTCTTATTAATAAATTTGAGAAAAGAGGCCAAGGCCGTCTAAAATCTTGCGCATTATTTATAATGACAAATATGAAAAAAAAAGCCCATAATCCATCCCCACAGAATGAACTTACTTTTTGAGGGGTGAACTTAGCAGCGTTATTGAATTGGTGTGCCAGCAGTAAAGTGAAACAGCCGTTCCGAGTGATAACTAATGGAAATATGCAGTTTTTGGAAGCATTCCTTCTCTTTTATAGGCGTATTTTGCCTTATTTTATGCTTTTACTGAATAAATTTGCATAAAAACCCGCATAATATGCAAATTTTTCATTTGCAGAGTTGTCTGTGTGTATCCGTGTGTGTATGTATGTGTGTTTGTATGTGTTTGTATGCGTGTGTGTATGTGTGTGTGTGTGTATGTGTGTGTGCCAAAGAATCTCGAACTTTTTCCTCGGTTTTTTAAATAATGATTCCCACACCGATTATTCGGTCGATCTTGATATGCAAATTCTTACATTCAGTGAAATTTGAAGTTTGAAAATTTCAGTTGATATTGTTTGTTTGTAGTATAGGAGCCGACACTACACTGGCGGTATATTGAGCTTTTCTCGCACAGTTTTTCTTGTGTTATCTTGGAATCCACCCTTATGGTCAGCCGACTAATGAGTCCAGTATTAGCGTCACGGTATGTGATTATGGCAGAATAATTTTCCAAGATTTTTGGTTTTTCAGAGTTAC